TCTATCTAGGTCTCATAAATCACTTAAACTAATGTTTACCAACAATTTGCATAACAAAATTAAAAAGAAGAATGTTTTCATTTTAACATTTTAAATGCTCAAGGTTACTTACTCCACTGGACAAAGTGAGCATGAGAGCTGTGTCTCTTCTGGCCATGCTCAGCCCTCAGAGAGCTAAGAAGCACTTCATCTCAGCACATCAGTATTCTCTATTACAGAAATCATTGCAAATTTTTGAAGAGGCAAAAAATCTGGTAGGGTCTGACTTAAAACATTTCTTGCTAATATCCTTAAATCCTTTGCCCTCTTATTCTCACAACCAACCTGCCCTCAACCCCAGAATAATACATTCAGTTATGGATTTTCTCCACCCATGAATCTAAATCTTAAGTACTGTGAAGTAGACCCATGTGGTAAGAGATGGGAACCAACACAGCTTTTTGGTCTCTACCTTTGGACAGTATCTCAAGATCATGTGGTAATTGTTTTGTGGGCTCCTAAGCAGCTCCCTCTACAACTCTACATTTTTAACATTCATCATTCTCATGAAGACCTCAATCCTAAGTCCTCAAAGTCTTTTAGGTCCCCTTCACAAAGAAACAGAAGCCATCATGTAAGTAACTCCCCAACTCCATGCTCTCTCTCAGATGCACATGTATTTGACATTAGGAACTGCATCTTCTCTCAATTTCAGTAGAAGACATATCCACCTGCAGGCTCATTCATCCTGTCCATTCTCTAGATTCTCTGAATTACTTGAGGACATTATCACATAAGTTATCCATTTACTTTCCTATATTTACAACCATATTGCCTCTTAATTTGGTATTTATTAAACGTCCACATTCCTATTATTCTCTTCATTCTACAATAGCCAAGCTTTATGAAAGGAGCAGACACATTTATTATCCCTTCATCACCTCCCCATTACTCCTCATATGGAAATGTTTCTGCCTGTCTTCAATTCCTTGAATCTGTTCCTGTCATGATTGCTAATAACCTCCTCATTCCTAAGGCCACTGGAAATCTTTCAGCCTTAAGCCTCCAGAACCTTACTTCAGCCTTCACAACTCTTGACTCACATTATCAAATTCCCACCCTTCTTAATTGCTGTGATACCTTTCTTTTCTGATTTCCCTTCTGTTTCAAAGGATGTTGTGAGCCCCTCTTTGTCTGTCACCACTCACTCCAGATTTCATTATGAATCATCTCTTCTCACTTCACATACTTGCTCTGCAGTTCTCTTCTCATCTCCTAGTTTAAAATGCCACTATGAGCACTTAAAAACCTCTCTGTGTTCATTACTCGGATGCCAACATGCTGAGGGGAGGGAACTTTTTTCTTCTTCCTCATTGTTTTTCTGGCATCTGACACATATTATGTAATAAGTAGTATGTGTGGAATGAAAGAAATTCACATGTACATTTTTATCCTAGACCTTGCTTAAAAGCTTCAGGATGGTTCATCATTTTGCCTACTCTCCATGTCCTTCAGATGTTGCTCAGATGTCTCAAGCACACATTTCCCCCCCCACACACACACACACACTCTTATCTCACTTCTCTATGTTCCCTACCATGTTCAGACAACAGCCATCCCACTGGTGAGTCAAGGTGAGCACCCAGTACCCACACCTTGATATAGATTTCTGGTCTCTGCCCTGAGAGTTAACTGTTTAAAGGGAATTGTATGGTAATAATGGTAATTCAGAATCTAGGAATTCATACAAGTGTACAAATGTAGTTCTTGAAAATGAATTCAGAGTTTGTATCTATCATAAACTCATACCTTCCTATATCTGAACATCTGCTTTTCAATCGACTTATTGCCCCAGTTCCTCCACTTCTTTTGAAAGTTGGATGAGTTATCAGTTTCCTTCTTAAGAACTTCTTGGATTTCATTCCCTGCCCCCAACAGACTGCAGTGGTGTAGGTGCTGCCTGTCCAAAGCCCCTTAGGTCTACTGTGCTTATAGAATTTATCTCCTACTATAAGAATTACTTGTTGGTTTTCCTGTTTCACCCACTATTTAATGAGCTACTGGAGGACAAGAAGGTTGTTCTGGCATCTTCTATTCTCTCATATTCTGTTCTCAGAGATAACCATAATGCTTAGCACAAAGTACTTAATCAATGAATTTGGATAAATAATACTGACACTTTGAAGTTTCTGTTGATGAGATGGAGTAAAAAGAATGCAATTCATCACAATTAAATAAAACAATGAGTTAAACCCTAAGTTTTCATTTGGAAAAGAGTTTATTTGCTTACATATACAGATCTTCCAGGAGGATTATTAATTTCATCATACTTAATAAAGGAAAGCATAATAAAGTAAAGCTACTTAATCAAATGTCACAATCACCTGAGATTGAGCCAGTGTTTTATATAGTTCCCTAAAGTGACACAGTAGATCTCTACTGACAGTTTCCATTGACACTCTGATTTTTTCTACCTTTCCATTTTTCTCCTGATTTCCACTCACACTGTGGTCCTAATGACTAGAATTCAGGCAGTCATTTTGGAGCCTAAAGAAAAAGGTCAAGAGAACCACAGAGACCTTTTTCTTGATCTTTTTTAACCAGCAATCTACCTCTATACATCTCATTACAAGAGAAAAATAAGTCCTTATGTGTTTAAGTGGGTATGACAAATAGTCATACTAATTAAACTAGTCATTAAGTGACAAAATCCAACTGCATTACATTATTCAAATGTTTGAGACATCCCTACTGCCTATATTACTACTTTCCAACATACCTATTACATCCACTCAATGAACACTCTGATACAGCACATTCTATTCATCAATTGGTCAAAACAAGAAATTCCACAATTTGAAGTTCCTTTTTCTTTTTTCTTATTTTTTATTTTATACCAGGGATTGAACCCAGAGGAGCTTAACCCTTGAGCCTCATCCCCAGAAACTCCCCCTCTCCCACTTTATAAAAACTTTTTTTTTGGAGACAGGGTCTCACTAAGTTTCTGAAATTCTCTGTAAGTTGCTGAGGCTGGTTTTGAATTTGCAATCCTCCTGCCTCGGGTTCCCAAATTGCTGGGATTACAGGTATGCACCACTGCATATCCATTTTCTTAATATAAATCTGCTTCAAAGTGTCAGTATTATTTATCCAAATTCATTGATTAAGTACTTTGTGCTAAGCATTATGGTTATCTCTGAGAACAGAATATGAGAGAATAGAAGATGCCAGAACAACCTTCTTGTCCTCCAGTAGCTCATTAAATAGTGGGTGAAACAGGAAAACCAACAAGTAATTCTTATAGTAGGAGATAATTTCTATGAGCACAGTAGACCTAAGGGGCTTTGGACAGGTAGCACCTACACCACTGCAGTCTGTTGGGGGCAGGGAATGAAATCCAAGAAGTTCTTAAGAAGGAAACTGATAACTCATCCAACTTTTCAAGATCCATTTTCTTAATATAAATCTTTGATCTCTTTCAAACTATAAATGTACTTAGAATTAGTTGCACGTAAGCTTTAGACACTTATCTTTTCAACAAACTTTTATGGCATGTTTATTATGTTGCTTGACATGTTGTTAAAGGTCTAAAAGTAAATAAGACACAATCACTATCTCAAGAAACTTACACATCAATGTTGAAATTATTCCCAAACTAACACCAAAACAGAATCTAGGGCTGGGGTTGTGGCTTAGTGGTAGAGCGCTTGCCTAGCATGTGTGAGACACTGGGTTTCATTCTCTACTACATATAAATAAATAAATAACAAAGGTCATGGGACAACTAAAAGAATGTATATTTTTTAGAAAAAAAGAAAAAATAGAATCTAGATGTTTGGAAAGAAATGAAGTTTATGTTATTGAGGCGAAAGTAAGATAAACTAAATTTATTATGGTGCATAAAAGGGTTCCCAGAGGAACCTCTATTTCAGTTGAGTGATCAGGACCAGTAAAAGTTAGTGGAATTTGTTTGTGTTTTAGAGAAGGAAGGTTAGAGCGAAGGCAACAAGTATAAAATTCTAGGCACCATGGTATGTGGAAATAACAACTATTTCAACCTTGCTGATCCACAGGAAGAGTCTTAGATACAATTGAAGGACTTTAAATTTTATACTGGAAGTTAAAGAAAGCCATTGAAGTATTCTATGTTATGACATGATTAGATCTGCATTTTTGAAATGCAGTTATATAATTTTCATTAATGTGTAGAAAGAAACAGGAGAATGCAGCAGGAGACAAAGATTCCAGGGGAGGTTTATCCAAGAAATTCAAGTAAAAAGTGAGCCAGACTTATGACAGTAGCTGAAGTCTTGACAGTAAGGTTGGTAAGGAGGTGAGTATTGGGTAATCTGTGTATGAGATCAGAGGGATAAGGTTTGGTAACCAATCAGATTTGGAAAATCTACATTCAGAAGGATTTGTAGTGTTCCCAGGGTGTTTTAGTCAGCTTTCTCACTGCTGTAACTAAAGGATCTGACCAGAACAACTGTAGAGGAGGAAGAGTTTATTTGAGGGCTCACGGTTTCAAAGGTCTCAGTCTATAGAAAGGCAGCTCCATTCCCGAGGCTCAAGGTGAGGCAGAATATCATGGTAGAAAGTGTGGGAGAGGGAAGCAGCTCATATGATGATCAGGAAGCAGAGAGAGACTCCATTCGCCAGGTCCAAAATATACCCCATAGTCACGCCCCAATTCTGACTTCCTCCAACCACATTCTATCACTTCAATTAATGCCATCAGGGATTAATTCACTCATTGGGTTTAGACTTTCCTCTGAACCTTCTTACATTGCCTCACATGTGAGCTTTTGGGGGATATCTCATATCCATACCACAATACTAGGTTACTCCCTAGAACAATAGTAATATTTATAATTATCCATACTAAAGTTTTCATGGATACCAAACAAGTAGAAAAGTTGAAAAATGTTGTCTCCCTAGCCTGACAGATAAACGAGCACTGCTTCCCAATGCCAGGCCACCAACACTACCACACATCGAAATTAGGGGAAAAAGTCTTGGTAGAGAATAACAAAGAAAATATTCACCTTTTTTAAATTTTTGCATATTATATAAAAAATAGAATCTTCACATAATATATCTCAGTGTTATTTCCAAAATCTTTTCAACTCACTGAGTGAAAACAATTCTGATGGAGATATTAGAAGTTTAAAAATAGTACGTCTCCACATCAATGGTATGAAATCCCATAACTTGAATATGCTGGAGTGGAGTTAAATATAAGTGACTGGTTTCCAAAGGTTCTTCTGAAAAATAACAGCTCTGCCGGTGCCAGTGCAGCTTTGTCATGTTCTCACTTCTTGTCCCTTCTCTCATCAAGTCTGAATTTCCAGTCATTAGTCTCGGTGGAATGTGGGATTCTCTCAAATGAGGTTTCAACCTGACACCGTCACAATTTCACCTTTCCATAGCTGAAATAATTTCAGGCATCCATATAATAACCAGCACTAGAGATGTGTAAATAATCTGCCACCGGCTGTTGGTGATTAGGATTGTTTGTCTAAAAATGTCCTTAGGTCAGCTTGCAGGATGCTGTTCTTCTAACCTCTTTCCATTCTGGTTTTTGTTTTTTTGCCATTTGCTGACTTCTCACAGGATGTGAATTTGACTGCAATGTCACAGAAACATAAAGAACTTTTGAGAATTAAGACCACACAGCACAATCCATATTTCATTCACCCTTAATGCTCACAGGAATTCTGTTGATGATGTTTGTAAAAGATGTCTGCATGTTTATTCATGATACTTTGTTCCTCAAAAGATGAATTCTCACTCATGAGACTGGCTCAATTTTTTTTTCTTAATTTTTCTCAGAGTGGTACTAGTCATGAGAAATGAAGAGTTAGTTTATGTCGAAAAGAATGGAGGGAATCTCAGTGTAAATTTGTTAATCTCCTGGAATATCATGTATTTAAAATGGCTTTAGCCGATCCCCAATCCATCCTACCCATACAGACAAAAAATCACTGACATTGAAAATTATAATTCTGTACTATTGTGTAGTGCATATTTTGTTCACTAAGCTGATAATGAGTTCTTTTTAAAGGTGTCACTAATTCAGCCACAAGACATTAGCTGTCAAAAAAATGTCAGATTGCTCTTCTAATAAAGTGACATGGTATGAGGTACATCTGAACATAGGCTGCTATTTAAATTGTAGAGCTCACACCTAAGGAAGCAATGTCATTAATTAGAAAAAATGTCTTAAGAAAGATCACAATGTGTTGCAACTCCAGAGTACCCACTTAAGATTTTTCTGGACAGGAGGAATAAAAGGAAATAATGTTAATTTTCTATTCAGTCCAAACAAATCATTAAGAATTTTTTTTAGTATGCTAAAAAAAAAAAAAGTATTTTTCTGTCTGGCCATAGCAGAAATGCTGCCACTTTAAATTTTTCTCCATTTTAGTAGCATTCTTCTTTTCTATAAGTTTCTTTTACTTCAGTTTTGTCTCAGTACCTCATTCTTATGTGGAATTACTTAAAGACAATAATTATCATTCTTCCAAAAATGCCTCAGGGCTTACACTGCTGGGAGAGAGAATGAGTTCAGTTTCCTTTGGGCAGAGAGGAACAGGCTTCCCTCCAGCCGGGTTCACCCAGCTACATGTCCTGTTTGACAGACAGCTGGTCTCCTACTGTTAGGATCTAGATTTAGACTCATTCCTCCATGTTGTTTGTTAGGATTTTTCATCAGTCCCAGAAGAGAAGTACTAGATGCTTGTCCTAAAAGTCAAATTTTGTTTAAACAAAGAAGAGTGAAGAGGATGGTTACCCTTACCTCCCCATCCAGATCAGCTGAACACATCCTGAGCCAGTCCAACAGGCTAGGTCTATGCCAGATCCTTTAAATATGATAAAAATGAACAAGCATATAGGAACTTAGATTCAGCAGGGGAATGCCTTCTAAATATAGGGGAATACAAGTAGGCAAATAAGTGCAAAAAAAGTCAAACTTCTCTCAGCTTACAAATTACTTCTTCAGAAAAGTTCCTCTTCCTGAATCTAATTAGGTCTCCCTGTTACCCTTTCATTAATGTGCTTTTATTTTGCTTCATGACGACTATCATAATATGAAATTATATATTTACTTTATATAAATGTATCTTTTAGATATCTCTCACATTACCAAAAGTTCAAAGAAGGCAGGAATTCTGTTTTCCCTTTTCTCAAAATTACTCAGAACTTAACACATTTGGCACTGTGAAAAGAAAATGGTAAAAGTCATTAATGCAAAAACAATTCAATTACCAAAGTGAATATAAATAACATAATTTATTGATCTAAGAAAATATGGGAAGAGTCTATAAAAAGAAGGGAAATTTATATAACTAGGATTCAGTATTTGAAATGATTTTGGCAGTAGTAGGTTAGATTCAAATACATAGTTTCTGAGGAAAGAAGTAAAAATAAATCTGAAGAGAGGTGAGGGACTACTTGTAGAGGTTCTGGTTGACAAACTAAGAATTTCAGGAACTGATTTTATAATGCTTAGTCATAACATTTTTTGATTCTATGTGAAGTTCTGTTTCCTCATCTCAAAAATAGAAATAGCAAGGCTAAAAAAAATTTAACAAGTTGATTTGAGAAATAATATACATGAAGATGTTTTTCTATTTAAAGTGCAATCAAATTTCTTGACATTATACATGGTAAGTACTACAAAATCAATCCGTTTAGATTTAAAATGATGAAAGAACACAGTGCTTCGTTTGTACTGTTCCTTCTCTGTCATTGCTTTCTTCATCTGGCATTTTATGAACAGCTGGACTCTAACGATGCATATAGCACACAACAGTTGAACAGTTCTGCCACCAGCCTCCATGGTTAATTGTAAATGTTATTTGTACCCAACATCGGTAGAATGCATAGTTGTTTCTTTAATGAAATTTGCAATAGCATTCTGCTCTTGCAAGATCTGCTCTTATTTCCACTTTAATGAGTATCATTCTGCCCAATAGGCCTAGTACTGGGACATGCTTCTGGGCTAGAAGGAAGCAAATTGAAAGCTCTGGATTCAACATAATGGTGCACAAATTAAGCCTTTCCCATTTCTGGGAAATAGAATGTCTTACCCTGCTCACTTGTCTCTACTGTTTTCTTTGCCTTTGGCTTTGTGATCTGAAAAATAAGAAACTTGCCCTTTATAATTTGTGAATTATTATTTTCTATTTTATTTCATATTTATCCTGATCTTTAAGTTCTATATGCATCAAATGATCTTCTTTCTTAATTACTTCTTTGATTTGATAATAATCATAATTACATTAAAGGCTAATTTTACTGAGCACCTACTATCTGCCAACTACTATCCACACATTTCTGCATCCTTGAAATAATTCTTCAAGATGTGTGTCATCATTCCTACTTTACAGAAGAAGAAATGGAATCTCTGAAATAATGAGTACCTTGTCTAGGTCACACAATTGGTAGACAGCTTAGAATACCTATTTGATTTAATTCAACATCCACTTCCTTTCTTATATTACCACACTAACCCCTGAACTCACTGGCATATGAGATCTTTATTTCCTGCCAGCTTGCTGACTCAAAGCCTAGGTTCTGTCCATATCCTGCCATATTCATTGATTCATTAAACTGGATAAAGTTAGGCTTTATTTTTTATTGATTCTTTTTAGTTATACATCACAGTAGACTCCATTTTGATATAAATATACAAGCATGAAATATATCTTATTCTATTTAGGATCCCATTCTTGTGGATTTACATGATGGTGGGATTCACTGTGATGTTTACATACATGTATGTGGGAAAATTGTTAGATTCATTCTGCTCTCTTTCCTTTTCCCATTCCCCCTTTCTTCCATTCACCTTTGTCTAATTCACTGAACATTCATCCCCTCAGTCCCCAAACCCTTATTGTGGGTTAGCTTTCACATATCAGAGAAATCATTCAACCTTTTGCTTTGGGGGAATGGCTTATTTCATTTAGCATGGTAGTCTGCAAATTCATCCATTTGCTGGCAAATGTCATAAAAATCATTCTTTTTTTATGTCTAAGTAAAATTCCACTGTGTGTGTGTGACTTTTTTTCTTTTTAAAAACCATCATTGCTTTACTTACAGAATGACATTAATTACATAGCCTCTAGTGGACTTCTATTCAAAGATGACAAAAAGTGAATTGACTACATTCCAGTCTATAGAAAGACAAATATGCAATATGGCAAAAGAAACACATTTGAAAAGAATCTCAGAGCAGAAGACTTGATGTTGGAGAAGGAGGTAAGTGCTTTACCATTATTAACTTTGTGGAATAATATTTTGGAACAGATATGATCACTCATGCTTAAGTATGGAGAAATGTATCATATGGCTTCATAAAATATATATACTCATTTTCTCCTAATAGAAATATATACATACACATACATATTCACTCTTTGCTCTATGTTTCTGTACAGTTTATTTTTAAAGGGAATGACTATTTTTGCAATTTTAAAAAACTGAATAACTAATGACTATGTCCATGCAAAATAGAAAATTCTATGGAAAAAAAAAAACTTGAACTGTTGAAGGAAAAGTGTTTGCCAACTGTTAATGTCTGTTTTTAGTTCCTGGAACTATAAGTACTATTCTGCTCAATCCTTTGTTTTATTGGTTCTTAAAAATTTTTTAATGATTTACCTTTTCTTTCTAATGGAACAATAAAAGTACCCAGGACATTAGAAAAAAATGAAAAATAGTAGAAAAAAGCTGATAATCCTATAATCCAAAAAATAACCTCATAGTTCTCATAGTCCTATAACCAAAAACTACCATTCTTGCGATTTTATTTAAATATTCTGATACCACATTTTATTTATCCATTCATCTGTTGAAGGGCTCCTAGGTTGGATCATAGCTAAGCCATTGTGACTTATGCTGGTATAAACATTAATATCGCTGCATCACTTTAGTATCCTGATTTTAAATCCATGGGATATATACTAAGAATTGGGATAACAGGGTCAAGTGGTGGTTCCATTCAAAGTTTTTGAGGAATCTCTATACTGTTTTCCAGAGCTGGTTGCACCAATTTGCAGTCCTCCCACCCATAATGTATAAGTGTACCTTTTTTCCCACATTATCACCAACATTTATTATTACTTTGATTTTTGATAATTGCCATTCTGATTGGAGTGAGATGAAATCTTAGAGTGGTTTTGATTTGCATTTTTCTGATTGCTAAAGATGTTGAACATTTTTTCATATATTTGTTGACCATTCATATTTCTTCTTCTGTGAAGTGTCTGTTCAGTTCCTTTGCCCATATATTGATTGGGTTCTTTTTCTTTTTTTAAAGTTCTTTATATACCCTGGAAATTAATGCTGTATCTGAGGTGCAGGTGGTAAAAATGTTCTCCCATTCCTTAGGCTCTCTCTTCACACTCTTTGATGTTTCCTTTGCTGTGAAAGAACTTTTTAGTTTGAATCTATCCCATTTATTGATTTTTGATTTTACTTCTTGTGCTTTAGGAGTCTTGTTAAGGAAATCAGTTCCTGAGCCAAATGTTGCAGTGCTGGGCCTACATTTTCTTCTAGTATGTGCAGGGTTTCTGTCCTACTACCTAGGTCCTTGATCCACTTTGAGTTGAATTTTGTACAGGGTGAGAGATAGGAGTTAAATTTCATTCTACTACATAAGGATTTCCAGTTCTCCCAGCACCATTTGTTAAAGAGGCTACCTTTTTTCCAAAGTATATTTTTGGTAACTTTATCTAGAATAAGGTAACTGTATTTTTGTGTGTTTGTCTCTGTGTCTTCTAATGTGTTCCATTGGTCTTCTTACCTGTTTGGGAGCCAATATCATACTGTTTTTGTTATTATAGCTCTATAGTATAATTTTAGGTCTGGTATTATGACACCTCCTGTTTCACTTTTCTCTCTAAGGGTTGCTTTGACTATTCTGGGTTTCTTATTTTTCCAAATGAATTTCATGACTGCTTTTTCTATTTCTGTGAAGAAAGTAATTTGAATTTTGATGAAAAGTTCATTGAATCTTTATAGAACTTTTGGTAGTATGGCCATTTTTACAATTTTAATTCTGCCTATTGGAGAACATTGGAGGTCTTTTCATCTTCTCCAATTTTCCTCAATTTCTTTCTTTAGCATTCTGTAGTTTTCATTGTAGAGGTCTTTTACCTCTTTTGTTAGATTGATTCCCAGCTTGTTGTTGTTTCTTTTGTTTTTGTTTTTTGAGACTATTGTGAATGGGATGGTTTTCTTAATTTCTCTTTCAGCTGATTCATCACTGATGTATAGAAACACGCTTGATTTATAAATGTTAATTTACCCTGCTACTTTGCTGAATTCATTTATGAGTTCTAGAAATCTTCTGGTGGAGTTATGTTTGTTGGAAGAACACTGACTATGAAGTCAGAAATTTTGATTAGAGTCTAAACCTTGGCATTTTGTACACACTTCAAGCCTTTGGGAAAGCTATTTAACCCATTCTGAGCCCAGATGCCTTACCTATCCAGTCAGAAGTCTTCCCTAGATGGTCTCTGCCAGTCTTCTCCTCTGAGGCATGCCCTCCGCCCATCTGTCTTGGCACAATGACAGGCTCTACTTTCCACTCCTTTTGTTTCACTGTGTCTGGAATTCTATCTCACGTTTCATGTGTGTTTTCCTAACCAAGCAATATTAGAGACTCTTCTTTATAGAGACAAGTGGTATGCCCACTCTGAGAATGCACTAAAAAGTTCTTTCAGATCTTGGGACCTAAAAAACTTTAGCTTATCCTGATTAATTTTCATGTTAGCCATATAGATATTATGAACTTGTAATTCATCAGACTCTTTCTGTGTTGGTAGCTAGAAAACTCAGAACCAATTA